TTTTTCCTAAACCCTAATTCTAATAGGTTTATTATATCATATCTTTTCGTATATCCATTGATTGTCCAAACAACCAACAACCAACTTAGAGTTGATTTATTTATATTACACATTTAGGGATAACTTCTTTGACTCCCATCGAACTAGTGAGGAAGAAGATTTTCATGAGATGTATTCTTCTTCAACGAAGATTGAAGAAAGTGAGAGCAACCCTCGAAGCTTCACGACGCTATTTTCATATTTTTCTCATTGATATGTTTTCTTTTCTATTCATGCGAGTTTTTAATTTTCGTGGTGTTAGGTTAGGATTAAACCTCATTAGAAAATTGAATAATTTAAATCTTGCAATTATTCTTTAGACAATTTAAAATAACAACAGTTCAGGAATAAGGATACAATGTGTGTTGATTTATGTGGATTTTTAAATCTAACGGTTATTGTTACTTTTGCTCACTTAAGATGAATTTTTGTGCACTCCTACTAATCACATTCTCACAGGAATATTATATAGTAAAAATGTTATTCATATAACCATCTGGTTAACTTTTAACGTGCTTTTAGAATTTAAAATAAGAGTTATGATGGAGTTAATTTTTTTTCTTCACGTTTTTACCTCCTTAGCATGGGACAAAATTTGATAGACAGTGAAAAAAAACATAATTTTATATGGTAGAAACAGCATCAGATTACGACTAATTATTGTCAAAAGAAATGCAGTAGAGATAAACTGATTTTCTTCACAGGAAATACAATTAAAATGACTGGTGCATGTTTGTACAGTCTTTGATTAATTTTTTTTTAAAGCAGAAACAAAAGCAAATAAACTAATATTCAAGATCACGTTGAAATAACAGCATCTTTTATCCAATATAATAATCTTTTAATGGCATAATAATTGAATTGACAACCACACTTTTCCATTAATTGAATCATTTTTGTAGTGACATTTTAGAATTGATTGATTATTGGTTCCTTCCAAGTCTGACCCATTTTACTAAACTAAAAGGAAAAGTGAAGAAAACTCGAACTAGAACTGTCAAATAATATATTATGAAGCTTGGTCTATGTAGATGATGTTTGTAGCCAAACAAATAAATTCCATGAAATGATAGCAGTTATATACTTATCGAATTAATTGGAATTGAAATCATAATTGTAGCGTGTGGAGTTGCTAAATACTAATCAGCAGCATACAATTTTTTCTTCACTTTTTGATCTTGACACTTCCACCACACCTGAATGCGTATACAAAGAGCATGTCATGACTCTTAAAAAGCTGAATTCGTAAGACATTGCGTCCATGATATTATAACCACAGTACTCTCTTTATGTACCAAACACATTTGAGACAAGATATAGTGGCTGAGTTGTTTTGCTTTTACTGTAACTTTGATGTTCCTTTTCTGATATCTGAGATAAGAAAGAAAATGACGAAACTTAGCTATGTGTACGTGTTCATTCATTCATTCATTCTTGAAGAAACATATGCATTGTTGCAATTATGCATTACAAAGAAACCGTGCATATCCTTTGATAAAGTGAAGTACAAATTGAAAATCCAAAAGGGAATATTCATGTCAAGTGCTGTTCTTTCATTGTGTCCGCAAAGTTGATTTGGTTAATATGCAATAAAATCTTGAAGCATATCATGCATACTTGTACAGCGATTGATAAATTAATTAAAATAGCATAATATTATAAAGAAAAGGAAGACCAATTGCTCAGTGGTAAAAGGCAAATATTCTCCAGCTTTTGATAATCAGAAGCATGTGGGTTTGTGTAATGGAATCCCAGATCTAAATCTGTTCTCCTTTCGAGCAATCATTCCAATTTAACTAAGCTTAATCTACTTGTTCGAAATTCAGAATTATTAAAAATATCGTCCTTTGTTTAACTTGAGTTTGAAACTCAAACTCATTTTTTAGAACATAAACGTATACCTTGTTTTAATATTGGAATGATGTAGAAATTAACTTGCATAAAACGATCAAAGTAAAATTTGCCAAAAGAAGTAGTAGATCTACATGTTATAATTGATGAAATTGAAATTGACAGGGAGTCAGCTGCAACAAAAATATTGTACATGTATTGATACTAATCTGGTTTTACTTAAATTGCCCAAGTGAATTCCAAAATAGCTTGTGGTTTACTTTCAGTTTCTGTGAACAAGAGGACAAAGAAAGAAACGAACACATCCTTGGTGACAACAATTTGCTTTTCCCTAAATTCGTATATATGCTTTCAATTTGAAAAAATGTCTGTTTCCATCCATGTCAAGATAGCCAGAGAGAGAAGGAAGAGATTGTGGCAACTGGCAAGGTGGTTGTGGAGTTTGAATAGGAATCTCACAAGGCCTTGAAAGTTGCAGCCTTTGGGGAGAGTGTTGGAGGGGAGAGAATATTCTAATGCCAAAAGAGTTCAACAGCTAAACTCCAAAATTTTAGTTTAAACAATGTTAGAAAGGAAAAACATCATTAGATTATGATTAAGGATTAGCAAAGTAGCAGGAAAAGTCAGCCCACAAGGAGACGCCTACTCACATTTCCAAAAATTCACTGCCTTTGTCAGCTCGCTGTCTCTAACATATTTCTCTTTCATGTTAATCTTAGTATTTACTCAATCTTAATCTACCCCATATCATTGATTAAGTAGTATTGGATCCAGATATTTTATGTAACATTTTGTGTTAGAGTAATCAGTTGAATTTTCTAACCAAGATCAATAATCATTAAAATCTATAAATTTTCGTAGCCACAAAAACTAAATAGTAATCTCACAGAAACACCAAACTTTACTCTGCAGAATTTCCTAGATTAACATATATATATCAGTCTAAAGAAAATAATACTCTTATTACTTGAGAAAATCATAGCGTTGAGGTTAAGCAAACTTTCTACTCTCTTTATATCCTTTATTTCTTTTCTTTTGTGGCGGTGAGGAAGATTCTGGCTTCATTCTCTGAAGACCTTACAGAAGTATATACCGCACATAATATATATATATATAATTACCAGAAAATGTATATTGATAGGACAGATAATATACCCAGGTTAAACATTTTCACCGAAACAAAAAACTTTGTTTAAAAGAAAAGGAACCTATCAACGCAAAAGATGTTGAGAAAAAGTTAAAAAGTAAACGACCTACCATCCAAAAAATTGAGGGTGGACGGTAAAAGGTTCGCTATGCATCGATCTACCACTCAAAATTGACCACCCAATTGAGCTCTTCATAGACCTTCAACTTGTGTTAAGAAATCAAAAGCATGTTTGACTGCCAGTTGCATCATCATCACGATGTGATGATAGCTAGAAATAATTATTGTTTATGAACTAATAATTAATAAAAACAAGGAACAAGAGTTCGTTTGATGTACATACATAAAAGCCAAGTGGCTAGAAACCCTGTCAATATATGCGAGACATGGTCATGTTGTCATTGGGACGATTATTCCCTTTTATGTGTTTTTTCGTCTTTTGCTTTAGGATTAAACTTGCTTGACAGTTTGGTGAGAGTATGGACACGCGTGCATGGCTGTTTACTCATAAGAGTAATGACAAAGCAATTAACAAGTTTCTTGCCAAGTGATTGATTATAATGGCAAACTAATTAGCTATCTCTCCCTCTTTTCTTTGAATCCATGCATTGTATTGTATATATAGGTATTCAAACATTTTACAAGATTTTGGCATCTATCAATCTTCCTTGGGGAAATGACCTGCACATTCACTTTGACTATGCTGCAACAAACACCCTTAAAGATTTTGCTTTTTGTGGAAAATAAAGATTGAGGAAGGAGTTTGGCTTTTTTTTTTCTAGTCACACTCACACGAGACACAATGATTTTCACTTTTTGAAAGAAACAGCGTTTTTTGCTTTGATTTAAATGGTTGCAAGTGGAGTATTACAAGTTGAAACATTAATATTCGAGCAAAAGGGAACAGTTTTTTTTTCATCGACTCTTCGGTATGATAGTAGCACTACACTAGCTAGTATGGATAATATAATAGCGTAACTTTTTTCTGCTTTCATGTTGAGTTGGACAATCTATACACACAGCAAAGCCATACTATTTGAGCCTATAGGAAGCAAAGGTTTCTGAGGTCATGGCAGAAAAACCACAGATAACGTATATAACATCTTAACTCAGAATGATTTGGATGTAGCCCAGATGAATGAATATATATATGTTCATATTAGGCGTGAAATATATGACATATATGTGATAATATATATATATATATATATATTCTTAATAAAGATGACATTTCTTTGATACGAAGATAATTTTGTTTGTAACTTTTGTTTCCTTTAATCACTGATCTTTTTAGGCAAAGCTAATAGATTTACTACCTGATGAGGATGATGATTAGGTAAAGCTTTTTCTCAAAATAACAACTCTAATTTCTGTTACCTTATTACGAAGCTCATGAAATTCATGTTAGATCTATTGGAAAGCACAAGGTTCCTCGCTGTTTAATTATCTGTAAACTTAAAAAAAAGGTCATTCAACGAGTAAGGATTTGAAAAATAAGAAAACAGAAAGTATCAAATTATGGGATAATCATTCGAAATGAAGATAACTTTCTTCGGACCTCATCATATGTGTCATCATATACCTTTGCCTCACCTCCTGTTCTCTCTATATTTCCCTGACCGATGACCCCCACCTCCCTTTTCTTTTTCCTTTCTCTTTCTCTCTCCTCTTTTGCTTTTCCGCCCCCCGTAGCATCGTAGTTTTTTATTCCACCTAAAAAGTAGATAATTAAATTGACTGTAACATATGAGAGAGAAAGAGAGGGACAGAGAGATCCCATCTAGCATATATCAGTTCATGTTGTTTAGGGTTGGAACCATATAATTAAGAAGCCTAGCTAAGCTACCCCATTCCCTCGCCTTTTCTCCTAATTCAAACACTAATATACTTCCTCCCATCTTAGTCAGCTCTAACTGTTTCCAAACTGAGTCAAACTAAGGATTGAAGAAACACCTTAGCTAAGATGCTAGAAAAGATGGATGATGGAGAAATTTCAAATGCTTTTCCTCTTCAGAACCCGTCAACTGGTGCATCTAACCAACCTCCTGTTTTGAAGAGGAAGAGAAACCTTCCTGGAAATCCAGGCAAGTTTGTTAATTCTTTCATGGTTTATTATCATTCTCAGAATCTTTTTGTAATTTTCTCTCTTTCTGTCTTTCTACCTTTTCTCATCATCATAAGTATATTCAAAGCTAATTGCCTTTTTTTCGAAAGAGAGCAATGTTTTATACGAGTTAATGAATAATCATGTACGTGCACAGATCCTGAAGCTGAGGTCATAGCCTTGTCGCCGAAGACTCTGATGGCCACAAACAGGTTCGTGTGTGAAATTTGTCTCAAGGGTTTCCAAAGGGACCAAAACCTTCAACTCCATCGACGAGGGCACAACCTTCCTTGGAAGCTGAAGCAGAGATCAAGCAAAGAAGCAAGGAAGAGAGTTTATGTGTGTCCAGAGAAAACTTGTGTCCACCACCACCCTTCAAGGGCTCTGGGAGACTTAACTGGGATAAAAAAACACTTCTGCAGAAAGCACGGTGAGAAAAAGTGGAAGTGCGAGAAGTGCTCAAAGCGTTATGCTGTGCAGTCAGATTGGAAAGCTCACTCAAAAACATGTGGCACCAGAGAATACAAATGTGACTGTGGCACTATCTTTTCACGGTACGTAGTTATCTCTCTATCTTATCTCGTGGATCACAAACTGTTATGAGTTATCAATCTCATACTATTCAAATTTTGTGTAAAAGTGGTAAGTTGTCTAGTGGCATGTATGAAAAAAAAAACATAGAAGGAAAGAAAAGAAAGAGCAATTACTATCCTTATCTTTGTGGCAAAAGAAAGCATCGCTTTCTTCATGCAGTAGTGGTGAGTTGAAACCCAAAAAAAAAATATATATATATATATATATATATATATATATAGATAGATAGATAGATAGCCAGATAAAATGAATCATGACGCTGAAGTTTTTAAACTGTAGCTATGATATCTTTGTCTCTGACTCCTCCGTGTGCTTCTGAGTGTCTGCTGTCTATTTTGCTTTTAGGAGTAGTAAAAGGAAAAATGAGTCTTAGTGCAGTGAAAAGAACTTGAAAGAACCCACACTTGCAAGGTTTATTACCTTTTTGCAATCATCTTAAACGACAAAAGTTCTAAGCTATCTAGTTTGAATCATCATAGATTATTTAACGTGATTATGAAATGGTCTCAATATCATTGATTAATTATCTGGGGAGTTGGGTTATGAACCCTATATGTTAGGGATTGAACTTGTCCCCTAATTTCTTTTATCCTTTCTCTTGTTCCCATTAAAAAGTGAAACATGATTAAAAAATAAAACTCTCTTACTTGGTTATTATAGTGTTTACTGCTCATGTAGTTTATTTTCATAAGCTAACAAGTGGTAATGCTGGAGTCTTGCTAGAGAAATTCTTAAGAGTTTAAGGGGGCAAGAAATAAAATGCCTTGAGATTTATAGCATTTTTACTATTTTTAATTAAGAAATATACTTCATCAACACCTAGTTCATAAATGATAAATAAAGAAGAAAAAAAGAGTGGAGCACAAGAATATTAATTAAGTTATATAATGTGATAGAATAAAAGAAGTGAAAATAAATAATAAGGAAAAAGTAATAATATATAAACATATGTTACTATTAGATATCTTATTAATATTTATTATTATTATTATTATTATTATTATTATTATTATTATTTTCTATCACATTATAATATTTATAAATTTATATTTGTTCCTCATTTATTATTATTATTGGTGTATATATAATTTTTCTTATAAATATTAATTAAAGAATTGTAATATATATATTATCATTTGTTGTAGTTAATTCAATTTACTGTTTTGGTGGAGCAGGAGGGATAGTTTCATCACTCACAGGGCTTTCTGTGATGCCTTAGCAGAAGAAACAGCTAGAGTGAACGCAGCATCAAACATTAGCAACTACAGCATCATGCAAAATCCCCTAGGTCCTAGCATGGCAACCCATTTTTCGTCATTTTTTAAGCCAAATTCATGCCCTGAGGAGCCAACCCCAGGTAGTCAAACATCCAAGGGGCTATCCCTTTGGATGACTCAAACACAGGCTCATGAAACAATTGCTAACAACAATTTGCATGAATTTCATCAACTTGGGTCTGCTACAAGCCCGACCTCAATTTATGGTGGTGGTGGGAATCCACTTGCTCCTTGCTCAAATCCACCATCCTCTAATTATCAGCTGAATTGGGTGTTTGGGAATAAACTCTCCTCCAATGGAAATCAAGATCTATCCAGCACTGCTTCACTTCCACTAGTCAATGATATTGTCAAGGATAACCCAAACCTGCAACTCATAAGTGTTCCTTCCTTGTATAGTTCACAACACCAATCCCATCAAACAAACTCAGCAAACATGTCAGCCACAGCTTTGTTGCAAAAAGCTGCACAAATTGGGACAACATCATCGGACCCATCATTATTCCTTGGGAGCATTGGTTTGAAATGCAACAGTCCAGGCCAAGATGGGAACAAATTTTGTGGTCTGTACGGTTCAAGTTCAGTACTCACGAGTTATGATGCAGATAATAATTATTCAGGTGATTTGTCACAAATGCCCCCTTCAAAACGACGGCACTTACAGAATGAAGAGAGTGCATGGGGACAAACTAGGGATTTTCTTGGTGTTGGTGGTGCCAACCATTTGCCACCCTTCATCAACCAAGGGATGGATTTAATTTGATATGATGAAGTGTTCAAATGTGAAGTGAAGCCTTTTAGTTTCTTCTTTTATTTCTTTTTCTTTTTCAATGAAAGGGAACGTAATAAATGCGGATGGTGGATGAGGTTGGAATTAGTACGAGTTAAGAGGGAAAAAAAAAACAAAAGAGTATATATGTTGAAACTTTGCAAGGAGGAAAAGGTGGGAATTGAGTGCTTGATGAAGGCTGAAAAGTTGGTATAAAAACTATTGAAGTGGAGAAAGAAGAGAAGAGAGATCCATGCATATTCTTTTGAATCCTGAAAGCTAACCCTTTTTTAAAATGGGGGCTTTAATTTTTGGTAAAGGAGAGGGAGGGTTTGTGGAGTAGTGGGGGCAAAGGATAGGATCACTTTTGAACTCCATTATTGCTCAGTTTCATCTCCATTGTGGTTGTTGCCTGTCAAACTGGACTCAAAAGAGAACTTCCAATGACCAAAAAGATGGATTTTATAGTACTAGTACAAATAGGCTTTTAGCCTCTTCATTATTATAAAATAAGCTCATGTACCCTTTCATTCAATCAACAAATCATGCATAAATGTACGATACCTACATATATATTTTCTATCTATGCCAAAAGAAACTTAAAAATAAAATAAATTGAAACACCAATCAAGAAGATGACCAATCTATAGTGAATGAGCTTAAAATATCTCTATATATATTATTCTTCATCTAATTCTTTGAATTCCCCACATTTTATAAAGAGACTATATGATAAAGATCGACCTTTCCATTTTGATTCTCCACTCGTTTCAATGTTTGTCCTAAAACGTTTAATATAGCATAATAAGATAATTTTTAATTTCATTGTTAAGGCCGAAAAAGAATCCTTATAAAAATATTTACATGCTTTCACCCAAAAGAGATTAATTTTTTTAAAAGAGTTAATTCATGACATATATGATAAAAACCAAAATGATCAATATTAATTTAAGAACTCCTCTCAGTGTTATTTTTCATACACAAATTTTAGAATAGAATTCAAATTCCTTCTACTCAAAACTAACATGCTGATATTGAAGTGGTGATGTAGCTCTGTGGCGTAAAATTAGTATTCTTTTATTATTAACTGGAAATTGAATATTTTTAATAGATCATAATTATTTAATTTATATGTGGCACTCGTGTGTATTCTCAATTGGTGTATTGCAAATTGTAACTGTTTATGCAATATTTCCAGAAGGTGATTACTCCTAAACAATAGTATAAAACAAAACATGTACTGGAATAAAATAAATACAAGCTTTGTCAATTTTGAATTGGACAAATAACTTTAATAATTTACAACTCATTTGTTACTTTCATCATTTTGTTATTTTAACCCATAAGTCATAAGTTTAATATTGTATAAGAAAAATAAACTCAAAATTTTAATATAATGAGTTTATAGATTTTTTTTCCTTTATATAAGGTTGAATTTGACAATTTCTATTCAAGGTGTATTTCTACCTATACTATGTGATTATGATTTTCAAGGAAAAGACATAGTTGATCCTATGCTAAGTTTGCATTTGTTTGATCAAACAAGATGGGAAATAAAATGGAAGAAAAGAAAAAGAGGAAGAAAAGTGTAAAGAAGCCATTTTATTGAGTATTGACTACCGCACTCACCACGTTTGATTTCGTTTTTACTTTTGGCCACAATGACGTAGGTGCTGGGATGGGACAAGTTAATTATGAAATCGCTGTTGAAGATTATATGCCACAATTAGCAGATTGTCTTTCATAATGATAAAGTTTAAGGCAGGGAAGACATGTTAAATGATAAGTGTCATGCATGCATGAGTCTAGTATAGTGAGATCTTCTCATGGCACGTATTGCATATTGCTTTCTTCTGATCTGACAACACAATTGTGGTTTAGTCTCTTACGAACACCACATGTTCATCAGACATCACACAATCAGATATACAAAATTAAGGTTTCTGAGTCAGACCGCAAGTACTGAGGAAACACGTGTAGGACTAAATCTGTTTTTCCCAGCTATGTCTATGCTCCATGTTTCAACCAAATTATGAGGAAACGAAAGGGTTTGGGTTCAAGTTTTGTTTTTTATTTTCAAAATAAAATAAAAATAAATGAGTTTCTATGGTCCCTGTATGCTAATTCTAAAAGGGGTACTCACTTTATTCTGTTCAATCATATTCTAATTAACACAAAATTGAATACTAGAACATTCGTAAGTCTTTCGTGTATGTTTACCTTTCTTTAGTCAAAAGCTCAAGCAGTTGCTGATTAAGAATAGTTATAATAAATTTCAATTATTTCATATTTTTATTTATTGAAGAAGTACTCAAAATAAAAAATCAACTGGACTTTTTTTTTCTATTAACTAAAATTTATTACATTTACAAATGTTTAAGTTTCACTTCTTACTTGACAAGTCTGTGTTGTAATTTATAATTTTTTATTCATGAAAATGGGGTGTCTGTTATGAAAATTTAGTGACCTGCACTTTAACAAAAGTTGTAGACGAACAGTAAGCATGACAACAGGACGGGGCGGGCGGGTTTTACCTCCCCGATCTCTCGTCTCCGACTTTTTAATCATCCCGTCTCCGTTCTCGATCCTCGTCGGAGTTAGAAATTAAGTCCCCATCCCGTTCTTGCTGAGTGTTAGGTTTCCAGTTCCGTCCTCGATCTATATTATTTTTAAAAAGATAATTATATTTATAATAAATTAATTTTACTATCTATTTTTTATATATAAATAAATATTTATAATTTTATAATTCATAATAATTATTAATTAAATATACATTTTAATTTATTATATTTATATTAAAATATGTACGTAAAAGAAATATTTAATCATTTTTTATTTATAACATTATTATTATTATTATAATATTATATTAAAATGTTTGAATACTTATAACATTATCATTATTATTATAATACTGTATTCAAATATGATTATATGAAATATATAGTTTATAATGAAATATTTAATAAGGTAATTATTATTCAATTAATTCAAAGTAATAAAAGTTTAAATTATCAATTCCTTTAATCCTTTACAATATAATTATTTTATTAAGATAAAATTTGATATATGATAAATAAGAATAATAAGATAAACAAATGACATAATAAAACCTAATAAATATAAATTATAAATAAAATAATATTAGTTACTATTAAGATTTATGTAAAATATTTAGAAAAAGATAAAGAATAAAAAAATTAACTGTGTTCATCAAATTGATTGAAAAGATTGAAAAAAAAAACAAATTGATGAGAGAGATTAAGAAAAAATGAAAAACTACAAGGTATAAGAGAGAATAATATAATAAATTAATTGATATAAAAGATTAAAAAAGACAAAAAAATTAAAAAATAAGTAGAAGAAAAATAAAAATTGGTAAAATATAAAAAAATGACCTTATATGTAATAGAAAAAGAAAAGAAAATACTTTTAAAATATTAATATTTTAAAATTTAAATATAAAGTCGGGACGGGGACGAGACCAGAGTCGGGGTGGGGATTGCATTCCCCATTCCTACCCCCACCTCTACCCCCGCCCCGACTTTTTAAAGCGAGAAAAATCTGAACCCACCTCCGCCCCCGGTCAACTCGGGTTTTCTCCGTCAAACTCGTGAGGGAGACGAGTTTAATTTTCATACTAAGTAACAGGCTTGAATAATGAATATTGATAATTTTGGACCTTGTGCAGGGTCTACATTTCAAAACCCGGCCCGTTTGTAGATAGAATAGGCCCATTAATGGGAACATTTGAGAACCCAACTTCTAGTCAGCCCACGACCCGAAACAAACAACAACCCAACATCTTGCGTTGCGTGGTTTTAGAATCAAAACTTGACAGAGAAGCATGAAGTTCACAGACTCGCCGGTGATCGAACTTCGGGTGAACGACGCCGTTCTGTCCCTGCAGCAAGACAACGGGTCCATGCACGTGGGAACCTCCGTGTGGCCCTGCTCCCTCGTCCTCGTCAAATTCGCGGAGCGCTGGGCCCCACCAACGGACAACAACCCCTACGCCCGCGTCCTGGACTTCGGAGGCAAACGGGCCGTGGAACTGGGCACGGGCTGCGGCGTGGCGGGCATGGGCCTGTTCCTATTGGGCCTAACGGACTTGGTCCTCACTGATGTCGCGCCCGTGATGCCGGCCCTGAAGCGCAACCTGAAGGTGAACAAGCGCATCCTCCGCAAGACCCTGAAACACTCCGTCCTCTACTGGAACAACTCGCAGCAGATCGCTGCCCTCAACCCTCCTTTCGACTTCGTCGTCGCAACCGACGTCGTTTACATTCGCGAGACCGTGCCGTCTTTGGTTTCCGCCATGGAAACCCTCGTCTCCGACGACGGCGTCGTTTTGCTCGGGTACCAGCTTAGGGCACCCGAAGCGCATGAGCTTTTCTGGGAACTGTGCGACAAAACCTTCCACATCGAGAAAGTCCCGCACGAGCATCTGCATCCCGATTATGCTTACGAGGAGACCGATGTTTTTCTGTTGAGGAAGAAAAACAAGAAACAGTGACTGAGAGTGATAGGTAATTTTCTATTCGCGTGTGCAATTGGATGAGCATTCTCAAAATTGATTTTGAAATAATGTGAATAATGTTTATAAATATTTCGATCCATTGCAAAAGTTATCTAAATTATTTATGATGCATTTAGACTGAATTGTACATGTGAAATTTTGCCTAAATTTAATTAATTGATATTTTAAACGTGATTCTGAAAAATTGAACTAAAACTGCAAACGCACTTTATGTGAGACCTCAAGTGATAGCACTTCAGTTATTCTCTTCATTAATAAATTAGTTTATAATGGGTTGTGTAAATTAAGCTAGAATGAAAAAAACTATTTTGTTGAGGTAATTTTAGAATAAATAAATGGACAAAGAAAAACTCTTAGGACGGCATGTCGACAATGCTGGTTGTTTAAATGCCTGTTTCGTTGTTTGTTTTAGTTTGGTACAAATTGGGGTCACCAACCGCACCTTATTTTGTGATTATTTCATCAATTAATTGATTTGGCGTACTTTGTTGACTGAATATTTGAATCATGGAAAAGGTTAATTTTGTGTGCGGGTGAAAGATTTTAGCTAGTTGTGTTCCTTTAGTTTTTGAAGGTTTTGTTTATGCAAAACTGATTACTGAATGGAAGAACTTGTTAGCATGTTGAGTTGTTGACTACTTTGTGGGTCTATTTCTATGAGACAAACTTTTGGAAAGAAAAGCAAGGCAAATAATATCTTTCAAGGAAACACATTGTATGTATATTCATTCTTTGGCGTTGATGGGTGGATCATTTGATTTGTTATGATAGGTTTATTTTTGCTGTTGTTTTCATTCTGATATTTATTAAGATTAAGACAGTTTTTGGGAATTGCTAGTGGTGAATTTGATGAAAGAGGAATAGTCATGCAGGATAATATCTGTATCATCTGAAGCTAGGTGAATACTCATCAAGTGGTATCTAATTCTTTCTGTGTATTTTCTAATTTTCATTGGAAATAGTATGTCAACTAGTATCTAGTTTTCCCATCTCTGGGTGTTTGTTGCTAGTTTTCTCTGATTTTGCTTTCTAGATTGCATGTTATCTTGACGAATTAAGGAACTTATTGTGGACATGGATTCTTGTTAACAGGGTATGATAGAAGGTGGTTGCGGTGGTTTTTATGCCGATACTCCGAATGGTTGTCAACAAGAGATCTGGAATACTTGTGAGACGTGTGCTTGCTGCTGTAAATGTGTTTGTTTTTCTGAGATTTGGGCTCCTTTGTCATAAGGGGAAAAATGTGAATGGAGGGGATTAAATGTGAGAGTAAAACTACCTCTAATAGTTGCATAATTGTAATTATTTAAACACAGATCCTTTAACCTTGTTTTAACACCTTCATATTCGGATTATGGTATATTTCCCATGTGTGAGTAGCAGTTTGCAGACCTGGTTTGCGATACACTTTATCTTAAATGAATGACTATGCATCGTAGGCTCTGCAAGACTTGGTTTGGTGCGTTAAAGTTAATAGACTTGATTGCACGACAAGTCAATTACACCAGTATTGACGTTATATTCTACTATTTTGTTTTGGTACAAACTAGCTACCAAAGAAAAACTTGTCAAGGACATGACGGATGGAGATGAAAAAGCTAGACCAAGAAGAAGACGCAGATGAGTTGTAAATGACTGACTACTTATGTGTTTACTTTGCTCTTTCTGTAGAGAAAGATAATTTTTATTTCAAGCATCATCGAATATAATATTAGTTAACCGACTCACACAGTTGTTCTGCCCACTGATGAGTGATATCATTAGCCATTGTCTCTTTTCAACACTTCCTCAATTGGTTCTTGAAGTTGTTGACCTTCATGTATTTTTACTTCGCAGGTGGGTAGAGTAATATTCTATTGTAGAGCTCGATTCATATCTAACTGAAACAGTAAAATTAGGAAACAATGACCTTCACTTATTTGCATTTTCATAGTAATGCGGTTAGTTTGACATCTGGTTATATTTTTTATTAGAACTCCAATGGATGGTCTAAGAATAGCTCGACATATTTTAAGCACACATCAATTTATCACAGCATCTATTGATTTTTTTTAATTTGCTTTGATGCTTTACAACCTAAAATGACATTTTCCGTGGATCGAAATTCTCACATATAATCACGTAAATTATAGTATTTTTATTTTTATTCTTCACAATACTGTTTATAATTTGCCTTTTCTTTTTAATTATTTTCATTATATCACTTATTGCATATTCGTCTTCTCTTCTAACCAATGTTTTAAGAAAAGTAACATAAATACGTAATAAGAGTATAATTTCCCGAATCTTATGCACAAATCAAAACTCACAGAATAAATTGAACCAGACGGATTTTGTAGTTCAAGGCTTTAGGCAAAAGTCATGGTTGTACAGATTGATGGTTAGTATTTATCCAAGTAAAGGATGATTCAGATATGTTTTCATGTCACTGTACAAAGCATGATAGCAGCTACCCTTCAAAAATTGTAAAAGAATAAAAGAAAGTAAACAAAGTTACAGCCAAATTGTTTTGTCTTTTTCCTTACTTTGGTCCCCCTCAACTCCCCTCCCCCCCTCTTTTTTTTGTTTTTCCTCAGATGAAGTATCTGACCACTAGCTTTCAGATGAAGCAGTTTGTCCTTATTCTGTCCCACTTTTTCCCTCCTAACTGTATATATGGTTGGTCATTAACTTATTTCTTCGTTGCAGAATACAATTGTGATGTTCCTTCTTCTTCCATGCATGGCATCTCAAGGAATGAAAGTAGTACCATCATGGACAGGGAAATGGGTGACTAGTTGTGCATTGCTAGACCTATGCTGGTCCCCTTGATCAAAGGATACAAAAGAATTATTATAGTACTCGACAAACCCAGTGTTTTTATGATTAGTTACCTCATGCACACTTTCACCATTTAGTTTTGTAGAATATGAGTCTTTCATGAGTGAACCACATTGTCTAGGTTGTGTTTGATAGAAAACTTTGGAGACCACCAACTCCCCTTCCTTCTCCTCTTCATTATTGCCAAGGTGATACTGATGCATGACCCAGTTTGTCTTCTCAGGCTTCCTTTGTTTTCTGTAGTTAGTGTAAAGTACAAGAATTTTCTTGTACCCTTTTAACTTGCCACTGATGAAAACTGGCCTAGTCTTACCTGTTTTATGCCACCGTGTCTCACTGCCATCAGCATCTGTGTGCACCTTTCTCCTTTTCCTTGTTCCAGTCGTGTAGGCTTTGGAAGGTCTGTGAAAGAAATGTCGGATCAACCCATCTTTGCTAACTCCTGAAGTAAAATTCATTAAACCATTAAGATGTTAGTTTACATTAAAGTTTACAAGAAACCTAATAAATTGTTAATATGAAGAGCTTTCTTGTGCCAGATCAATAAAATAGAGTTTTTATAAAATGGGTAACATTAAATAGTCACATCTTCTGTACAAAAGTGTGACTTCAGCAAATTCTTTCTTCATTTGAAGTTGCTGAAGTTCAAAGGAAACAAACATCAGACCATATATTTTAAGGAACTATATTATTATGTGTGACAAACAATAGGAAGATTCAAATGTAATTATAGGTCGTGATGAGATTCCTCATTAGAAATGTTGAATGAGTGGAAGAAATAGAAATCTATAATCACAAGTGGCTTGTATTAATCACCTGGCAACTTCTCTGGATGGGTACAGCAGATTCCATTTTCCCCTTCAAGAGTAGGGATGAACTCATCAATTAACGGATGAAGCTTATGAATATCAGACCGCACCTTCGCTTCCAAATGCTCAAGAATCTCTTGATCAGTAGGATCAAACTTCACTCCAGCAGGAAGTCCAGGCAAGTCATGAATTCCAGCAGCCTAAATATCATCACCAAAATATTTATATTTATTCTTGAATGGCCCAATAAAACAGTAAATATAACGAAAAATCTTTGATGCAATTAGGTATAGTTATTATTGCTTTTCAATCATAATTAAAGTTTTACTTCATAATTTCGGTAATAAAGACAAGCATCAAATACTGTGCATGTTATACTAAGATTAAAATGAAATTCTGATTAAAAATCAATATCAAAATTAGCTATGAAACTCTATTAGAAATAAATATCTTGGATCATTAAATTCAAACCACAATAGAAAAGATAAACTAAATGATAATGATGAGTATGCATGACTGAAAATAAGATGTTTATGTAAACCTGCTCCTGGCACTTGATATGATGACCACATGTAGGACATGTTCTGATCAAGCTATCTTTGTGCCTCTCCACAATGATGGTATGGTTGTTTTCAGGGTTACTGCACTGAGTCATTTCCTTGTTATACTCTTTTCAGCCTCATTCCATTTCTGGATATCTTCTTCTCTAGCCTTCTCTTATGCTGCTCTAAAAGAAATGGAACAGAAACTGAAACAGGATGCACCGAGGAAGACTGAGAGATAGGTTGAGCTAAGATGAGATGAATTTAAAGAAGTAATAATTAAATAGAAGGGGAAAAGAAAATGTTGTCTCTTCTAAAAATTGCTCCCCTCATGCCAGTTTTTGTTGAGGGGTGGGAAGGAATTAAATTCTCCCTCACTTTTTTTGGTGCTTTCTTTTGCATGAGAGAATATATTGCAGTCTTTGCCAACCTCCCTCTTGTCCTTAGGAGGAAGAGGAGAGAGTAATACCTAAAAATTCTAAATATAGAGAGTAAAACTCAAATAAGTAATGGGGTTAGTTGCAGAGAGAGAGAAGCATGAAAAGAAATAATATATAAGATTGCTTTGATCTCAAGTTTTGCTTTGCTTTGTGTATTTGTATGAAAACTTGTAGAGGAATAAATGTAGATTTTTGTCCTTTATAGTCTGACTAAAGGTAGCTTTGAATTTAATTAAAAACAAAACAAAACCAGTTTTAACATGTAAAGAAAGAATTGATATATAAGGATAGAAGAGTGAGTTGAGTGGGATTTGGGCAACCTAATGTAAGCACAGAGCCAGAACTTAGGTCCGATGTCACCCTGGAGTATAGATAAAGTTAAAAACATTAATACCAGAAAACTAAGAAGAAAATTGAATAAAACATTTTTGAGCCAACCATAATTCCATTCCTTCACGTAGACTTCTCATGCATAGCAAGAAACTCTCCCCCCCTCTCTCTCTCAATGTAGTTTCAAAGGCTTAGCCCTCAACATCACTGATAGTTGCACCACACTATCTTTTGCCATATGCCAAGACCAAACACAACCCTCTGTCAAGGAAAGGAAAAATAACATATATATTGGAGCCACTGTGTTCCAAATGACAGATATTCATATATCAACTACGACACTTAACATAATAAATCGTTCAGGTTCAATTCAAATATATTCTTTAGCATACTTTTTAAGAGATTCTAATATTGCAAATTGTTCCATAAATAGAAGGAATTGTCTGCATTTAGCAGCAATAATATTAAAGCATGACTTCTTTTATTTCCATGTATTAATCATTACTTATAATGACGAATAATGTATACTATATTAATATTATGATATAAAATAAAATAAAAAAATACCCTATACAATATAAGAGAACTTATTCTGAATGGACCATTGCACACTACAGGTACAAGCATAAGGCTAAGCATAAGCAGAACGTGTATCATGAGTATAGCCAAACGGGACCCATGAACATAAAATAAGAATCTTATTACTAATCTTGGTTTTAATCACCAAAGTTCGCCACACTTATTGATAAAAAAATAAAAATACAAAATAAACACATCACTGCCATATAATACCAACAATTTTCATACAAAAATTATAGGCATAAACCTATTTACACTTCATTAAATAAATGTGTAAATTAAGAAGTAAGTATAATAATTAGAGAATATATATTCCGAATAAAGTCAAGGGTTAAAAAGAGTAATCTCCCAGCTGTACAGTGTATATATATATATATATATATATTACAGGATTACAGTATATATCAAACTGGAAAGGGTAAAAGGGTTAGAGATTGATACTCTTAATTCAGTGTTGGTCTTTTTCTATTGTGTACTTTTTTCTTTTGGCTTTATTAATTTTTCTTAAATAATTACAAGTTTTATGAGACCTCAATGATTTGTACTTCAGATTTATTTTATATTCTCTATCTTTAGGGCTTTTAGTTAAACTAATCATAAGTGAGACCCTAAGCCCTAACATACTTGCTCAAGCAAACCTAGACATGAGGAATATTTTGGGTTTCAGGGATCAAGCTTAAAAATAACAATTTATACTTCCTTCAAATTTACTCTGATTTTTTTTTTCACTAATAAGTACAATTTTTTTTATATTAACTTAGATAATAGTTTCATTCCTTTACATTTTCATTATTAGTCACAAAATGAATAGACGAGAGAAAATATTATTCAACAATTAGTATACATTATAAGTTTTAAACTAATTAGGTGGAAGAACACTTTAGTATCTTATGTATTCATAAAACATATACTAAGTATAATATGAAGATATTTAGTATATTTTTTTCTATTTATTCATAAATTTATTATATTTCTTGTGAAATGAAATAGAAAAAAAAGTATTTAAGAGTAATATATATAAATAAAAAGAGAGGCAAATTATCTATAAGAATATAAGTTAGATAATTGTTTTTTATTTCATAATTATATTTTTATAATATAATTATTTAAAATAGTGATTTATCTTAATTGTCATATCACAAGAAAATAAATAATAAAGGTGAAATAAAAATTTCTAATTCTTATCTTTAAATTTAAAATAAATGTGTGAGTTTGTGTGTAAGCGTGTGTTATAACATTTGAAATAGTGGGGATCTTCTTGGGAAACAAAGAACATGTTTTCAAAGTTTTATAGTTAGTATTTATGATTTTTTTTCCTAAACTTAATAATTATTCTCAAAATTATAATTTATGTTAATTTTTATGATTTTTGTCCCTCCAAATTTAATGATTATTAATTATTCATATATTTCTAAATTTAACTTATCACTTTTTTATTTTTTTATCTTTTTATATTTATTTATTATTTATTATAATATATTAGTTGACCATCTCAGAATTAATATTTAAAATTCAGCACTAATTTTAAGCAAGTTATGGGATTCATATGTGTCAAGTTAAGTCTAAAAAATAAAAAAAATATAAGAAAATATTGATTGAAATAAGAAAATTAAAATAATATGTTCCACTATTAGTCATTGCTTTTTCTTATAAATAATAGTCAATTTTTTTATAGTAATAATAGTCATTGTTTTGAAATTAAATTTCAGCAGGCTTCATACAATTTTATATATAATTTGATTGTCACAAAAATTATTAAGATCTGAACATGTTATAAAGTCTCATAAATATGGGAGGAAAAAGAATAATGAAAAGAAATGAAAGATGGTGATAGGTAGAAATGAATTTTGAAAATATATATATGTCCCAAAACTTATTAACTTTTCAATTTTTAGGTTAATATATTGATAAGATTAACAGAGAATCATCAATTTTCAAATTAACTATGACAAATAAAATTACATAAACAAAGGTGATAAGTAATTTAATATAGCAACTGCAATTATATATTACCTTTAAATTATAATAAATTATTAAATAATTGAAAAAGGCTACCAATAAGTATGTATAAGTTGGAGTTTAATTTCCATATTCATGTGATTAATTATTACAAATGTCAACTTCTTATATAAGACGTAGTAACTCAAATAATTAATCCCTAATCCTCAATTGGGTACACTCTATGATCATGAAAAAAAAAAAAAAAGCTATATAAAAGAAAATAAATGGCACTTAAACATTTTATCTAAACAATATATTTATTTCTAAAATGAATGCTATAAAAAGGAAAATAAAATATTTTGTATGAATACAGAAAAAAATATGTTTATCTTCGTAAAGAATGAAAAATACATCTTTTTAGTTCCTCAAATATAAAAAATACTTAAATTATCAAATTTTAAAAGGTATATTTTTAGTCTTTGGAATTAAACTATTTAATAACCTTACTTATCTGATTTCATGATTAAAATTGGATCAATATGCCTCAGAAACTATAAATAATAGACATTGTTTATGGATATTTCTGTAAAAAGAGGAAAGGAATACTTGTTCCTGAAATGAAAATTATCATTTATAGTATTTAAGTTTACACATGCATTTGATAAATATTTATGTTTATTTCAATAAAATTCATAATAAATATATTAACAATAAAATTGATAAAAAAATATTTCTCTCTCTCTCTCTCTCTATATATATATATATATATATATATATATATATATATATATATATATATATATATATATCAATTAAATCTTTGTTCGATAATGGATATTGGGATGTAAGATTGTTTTAATTATTGAATTTTTTTAGACATATATTAAGATGTAATTTTGAGATAGAAATAAAATAAAACAGATATGAAAATAAAATATGTAAAGAAAGATAAAAGAAAATAGTTTAAGATAATTGTGAGAACAAGTTTTGAGAAATACTTATGCAAAAGAAATAAGAAAGATTGCACAAAGAGTGTAATTTAAACTTTATAAATTTCATGTGTTTATTAATTGTTTCACATTTTTTTTATCTTTATTTTGGTTTCTATTAATGTATTAAATAGAAAGTACTGCATTTTATTAATTTTACGGGAAATATTTAGTTTAAAATGTAAAACGAGAAACGTGGAGAAGCCAATTTTGATGTGTTTCATTGTTTAAATGTTGGACTGTTTGAAGACCGCAATGAATGCAAACTCAAGTGGTGTGGCCCATTACAATAGGTGAAAGCCCATTACAATAAGTGAAAGCCCATTACAATATTGAAACCAGAAAGTTAAGGTGTTTCTTCCTGCACCCATACTTTCTTCTTATATCCCGTATTTATCTAAAATGATAAATAAGTTCTTCAAATTCATTCTGAAAATTTTTTAGATTGTCGTTTTCAGAAATGTTATAGAATCAACTTTCCAGTAATATTTTGAAAAATTGATACCTCAACACTTTTAGAAATGTGAATCCAATTTTTTTTTTGAAATTTTTAAAAATATTGACTCTAGAAAGCTTCCGGAAAAATTAATCTCAAAAATTTCCATAACAAACTTTCCAAACAAATTTCAATTTTGAAAATTTTTTAAGATTAATCTTTTTATTAACTATTTGAAAGCGTTTCAAAATCAGTTTTCTAGAATATGTTTGGAAATTTTATTTCTGAAAGTTTGATCCGAAAATATTTTAGAAAACTCATTTTGAAAATTTTCTTGGAAAGGTGGATCCGGAATAAAAATATATCGCATTTTCCTTTTCTTTCCACCACATGTCTCA